GGGCAGGGCAATGTCATTTTAACAATTCTCTCTGGATATGGTTTTAATAAAGGAATAATGGTAAGTTAAAAGCTTAAAAATTATTTCTAATATAGGCATTTTAATTGACGCAGACCAAGAAATTAGTTGGTTTTTATTTGACTTTTATTGAACATTGTAAGCATGGCTGAACTTCCAGGTGCCGACTTGGGATGAACTTAACATGTTTTTTTAGGGGGAAGTGTGAAACCCAGTGAGATAAATACAGAGCTTCTAAGCAATAAGGAAAGGGCATGTTTGAGAAGGTTAATGTGAGGTCAATTCAAAGACAACTGCAGGCAGAGGCATTTTATGTTTTGTAAGTGGACATAATGACGAAAGAGGCTTACCTCCATATACCACAACTTCACTTGAGTCAATGACTGGATGCTTGAACCCTGCCATATTTGTTTAGCGAGGTATGTTCCAACAGGATGATGTCCAAAATAACCTGTAAACTACAGTGGTTTTGGAACATCAAATATCCATCATTCTGTGTTTTGATGGCTAACCTGTTTACCTTTGAGATTATCTACTGTAAATTCTAAATGAACCACTTGTCCCCTGCTCTTAATGACCCTGAAATACAGCTTTAGTTTTACCGTAAAAACTACAAAGAAATCTGACGTTAATTCCAACTAACACGGTTACACCAATGTGTCCTCCACAAAACCAGGCAGTTTAACAGATGGCCATTAGTAGCAAATGAGTCGGCCAACTCCCATGACTTTGATTAGTTTGGCTAATTATGCAGCCAATCACATGCAAAGAGAGACAGCGACAAGGGACAATTAAGTTAAAAAAGACATTAATACAGAGACAAAGCAATGTAATATGATACAATATGATTGTTAGACAATAATAAATGTTTGCTTTTATGATAAACAGTAAATGGGCAACTGGGGGAACATAAAGGAGTCATCACTACATGTGTCACAAAACATGCAGCTAAGAGCCAATTTGAAAATGATATAAAAATGTGTGGTTTTAGACAGGGGCCATCAGGGGCCAGTGTCCCCTGTAGAACTAGTCATGGCCCATATACTGAAGACATAATGCTAAGTCATTTGCTTATGATGATATGGGCTGGTTTTTATTTGCAACCTGTAGGACCAGAGCTGCAACTGGCTCTCTGGCTCACTTAGTCAGCGGTAAACTATTGTCTTGCTAAATTTGGTTTGTTTTTTTGTTCTGTTTTGTTTTTTTTTGAGTGGGGCATACATATTTTTTGAGCTCCCCCCAAAAAAAAGAAAAACCCTGGCCCCAAGGGTAAATTTGGTATGGAACCGCCACTGGACTTTTTGAATAACAGATCACATATATGCTATAAAAGACACCCAGAGGTTTACATTAACTGCCTCAGTGTGAGAGAAGAAGGAGAGCTGTGTTTGGCTGATGAACCAGAGCCAGATTACCATACAAGGATTTAGCAATGCGCAAGCCCCACAAACACATTTTCACTTCATCTATCATCCGCGACCTTTAACCTGTGCGCTATTTGGGCATGGTTTAATGTAACGACACAAACACTTTGCATCTGACACCCACTCGCGGAGCATAAACACACATGCGGCCCCACGCTGAACAAATGCTTACTTATGTAGGTTACTAAAAATAGTTCCACGTCGAGCAATAAAAATAGACCAGAAAAATAAAAGCGGGACTCGTTTGGCTGTGTCTAAATGCTTTGACAGTCTGTCTGTCTTCATTTGGCCGTTTGTGGCGGACGCAGGCAGAGGAGGGGAAGAGATGAAAAGACGACTGAGTTTCACTGCAGTCCTGCTGTCCCTCCAGCCGGCTCCTCGGCTAATTGGGATGGGGAAAAGCTCATATAAAGGAGGAGGAAGAGGAGGACAGCAAACATTATGCCCACGTCAGCTGCAGCCATACAGGCTTCTGTGTTTGGAGAGATGCAGCTCCCTGCTTCTCCATGCCATCCCTTCAACACTCAGTTGTCCGATTAATCAGTGATTGCAAGCTGGGTAATGGACTCCTCTACAGCTTATGGAGCATTTTGGGTCATTTAAAGACTAGAGAACATTTTAGCAGAAGCTAAGGAGTGGTTTTACTGACCCACTGTGTTACATATACAGCTGTTTAGAGTTAATGGAATAAAAGTTCAGCTATTCCAAAATAATTAGGGTAGAAGTGTGACATTTATCCTCAGGCAGGAGAGACTTTTAGCTAGCTGCAGAGGAAGAGTTCATGCACAGAAAAGATGTTCAATTCAAGAAATACTTCATCAAGCCTTAAGGGAAATTAAATGTTGTAACTCATAGAGGTTTCTCCTACAAGGAAAGATCTCCTGTAGCAGTCTGTTTTCAGCAGGCAGGAAGAAGCCTCTGACTGACAACTTTCTTGTTGTTAGACAGGCTGATAAGGAAGCTCAGGGTTTACCATGATGTTTTTCATTTAATGAATTGTTCTGTGTAAAATAATATCAAGAGGTTCTAGCTTTTTTAGGTAATTTGCTCTTATAGATGCTCCAGCAGATAATAGAAGAGGTCAAACGCTCCACAACAACATTATAGATATGCAGCATCCTGCTACAAACACTGAAAGGCCTAAGCTGCCTCAAAATAGTGTCTGCTTCGTCCCTTCTTCTAGACAATTTTACAGCTACATCTCCAGTTCCTGTTTCTTTTTAAATCTACAATCCTCTCCCTTATTTTGCCTACATGGAGGATCAGATGGCTGGGTCACCAACTCCCTGTACTCAGCTTCTTGTCCATCTCTGTTTAAAACAATGGGCCGGATCTATCAAAGGTTTGCGTGTATAAAAACGTGAGCTATTTCACTGCGCACGCTAAAAAATGTACAAACTGATCTATCAACAGCGTGCTAAAAGGATTTGGTCTTTAAAACGTGCTAAATAGCGCCTCTTATCCATTTAGTACTTTTTCTGCAATGAATATGCAATATGGGGCGTTTACATGCAAAATTGCGTCTTGTGGGAGGAGAACATGTAAATATATTAATTTAGCACTCGCAAAGTGATTTATTAAACCTGAAAGCAATTTTGCTAACGGTATCTGACACTATATTTAACACGTTTCAAAAGAAGGTGCAAATGGTCTGTATGCGTAATTGCGCACACGTGGCAGCGGTTATTGTCGCAAGAAGGAGACATCGAAATGAAGCAAGGAGACGCAGAGAACGAATTTTTTCACTCCGTGTGAATATTTTTGGAATGAACGAGGAAACGATCATCAAAACATATCGTTTATCCAGCATTGCCATTTTGGAGCTGTTGGGGGAACTCCGAATGGATTTGGAGCCAGCCACAAGGAGGACCCACGCAATACCAGATATCACAAAACTCCTTGCAACATTGCACTTTTTTGCATCTGGGTCATTCAAGCGTACGGTTGCAGCGAGAGCTGGGATCTCCCTATCTCGTTTTTTCAGAAGTGCTGTCCGAAGTGCTGTCCGAAGTGCTGTCCGACGGGGTCGAGATTCTCCCCCTGCGCCTGTGGAGCAACATGCCAATGCTGCGGGGATTTACTGCAGTGAAGTAGAAATTCAGCCACAGAGCACCTTAGGGAATAAAGGTTGCCAAAGTTTTTTCTTTATATATATATATATATATATATATATATATATATATATATATATATATATATATATATATATATATATATATATATTTATATATTTATATATATTTTTTTTTTTTGGAGGGGGTGGGGGTGTCACTGTAAGGTTAAAATTTCTTAATGCACTAGTTTGCACAAACTACAAACTACTTTGCCGCAAACCACAAAACGCGCAAAACCATCATTTAAATAGGGCGTCTCCAACAGTTTTGCACCTGCCAACAGTTACGCAATCACTCTTGTTAAATCCCCCGCAAACCATGGTTCAGCCCCTCGCGCAAAATTCCAGTTTGCGAGCGCAAATTACTGCACGCAAAATTGGATCTTGATAAATCCGGCCCATTGAGTGCAGTCTCATACTAAAAGTCAGAGCAAAAAGGAGTGGAGGGTGTGCCTGTGGTGCTCCTGTGCTGCTGACTACACTACCTGGTCACACAGTTGACTATTTGGTTTTACAAACGGTGGCCTGATTGTCAGGTAGTCTTTGATCCAAGTGATTGTTAATGCCTTTGTCTGAGTTTCTGATAAAGTAAGTCAGGCTGAGTCGTGTTAAATGCACTGGAGAAATCAAAGAACATGATCCTAACAGTGCTAAATGACAGTGGGTTTGTTTGCGCAGGTGTAAGATGGCTTCATCAACTCCAACTCCACAGCCAGAGCAAACTGCTGTGGGTCCTGTTTGCTGCTGGTTTGCTAAGGTGGTTCAACAGGAGTCTCTCTAGGACCTTCATGATGTTAGATGTCAGGTCAACATCTTTATAGTCATTGAGGACTATTGGCTGATTTTTCTTTCGAATCAGAACAAGGCAGGAGGTGGTCCACAACACCGTCTCCAGGATCAGGCTAAGGTTGAAGAGTTGCTGTAGATTCACACTGAGCCGCTCTGTGGGACTTTTTCATTACCTCAGTTTCTTTTTTTTTCAGCCCCTCAGTGGTTGTTTTTGTTTCAGATGGGGGTCCGGCTCCCTTGAATGGTTTCCAGGTGTGAACAATCTTTCTCACTGTTGGAATCCACATCATTTGGAAGTGGTTATAGAAACCACTCCAGGTTGATTGGCAGCCACATTTTTTTCTCTTAGATTACTGCCGATGTTATTCCTGTTTGGCACCATTTTTAACTTTACCTGTAAAGACTCAGTCTTACCTTCTAATAACAATTTAAAAATATATATACATTTCATTTGCTGCATCACGCTTTATATTTTCTATCTCACTTCCTTTAAAAAAATTAAAGCTCTCTTTATTTTTAACATGCTTCCTCTGGGTGTTCTCTTGTTGATCGTCTGAATATTGGATATTAAGAACTGACACTGATTTTTAAGTTGAGCTTACTGTTTTAAGATGAGTAAATACACAAAGAAATAAATGTCTCTTCGTGTCTCACAGGAACCTGGGTAAGTCCGGCCTTCGTGTTTCCTGCCTGGGGTTAGGTGAGTTGGTTTAAAGGCACTGAGAAATTCCTCTCTTTTTTTTTAAACACTCCACACTAACAAACTGGTCGCTTTTTTTCAGGCACCTGGGTGACATTTGGATCACAGATCTCAGATCAGGTGAGAGTTCTGCCTTTTATCTTGATTTCTCTGCCCTTTCTACCCCTCCCTGTTTTTGTTTAACTGTCTGTGCGACTAAAACAAATCTTTGTGGGGTTTTATTTCCACCTGTGTCCTTTTGTCTGTTGTTCCATGTTTCCTAACTGCTTGCGTTTCTTTAGATGGCTGAAAACCTGATGACCCTCGCTTATGAAAATGGAATTAACCTGTTCGATACAGCAGAGGTGTATGCTTCTGGAAGGTCAGAACTAGAATACTTATCCTCTTATTGAGAAGTTAATTACATTTATTTCAAGTTTAGAAATTCTATTTTTTGAATGTTCTTTTTTTTTTTAAAAAAAAAAGGTTATTTTGGCATAAAAACATGTAGGATTCATTCTATTTTGTAAGAAAGAAAAGTGTGGGGAAATCTAAGTACTAGAAATATGTATATTTTATTAATAATTTCATGCCTCTAAAATTCAAGTTGGGATGAAGAAAAACTAATTTCAGACTTTTTGCCCCACAGAGCGGAAATCACTTTAGGGAACATTATCAAAAAGAAAGGATGGAGGTAATGTTCATCTTATTATTTCATATCTGACTCACGTGGATGTAAAGACATTACTAATGTTGTTTTCTTGTTTTTTTCGACATTAAACATCTGCTCAAATCCCTCCTTTAAAACCCAGTCCCAAGGGAACTTTATCCACTTTAGAAAACTACATAGCTTTAACCCCCTTAATGCATTAATGCACAAATTCAATGCATTTTAATGCAATCATATAACTTTTAATTTGCATTAACTAGTTATTGCTTTTTGAATTTGTGCAGATTGCAAAAAATCCTGCTTTTAATTTCACCAGAGAAGAAATAAGCAGAATGTAAATGTACGCATTTTAAATACTGACGCTTGTGTCCTTTTACAGGCGCTCAAGTTTTGTCATAACAACAAAAATCTACTGGGGAGGCCAGTAAGTATAACATTAAATAACAGTGCAGAGTTTATGTTTATTTTTTTAATGCACTCATTGCTGGTTGGTTTTAATCATCTACAGAGCCGAAACAGAGCGAGGGCTCTCCAGAAAGCACATTATTGAAGGTAGGACATGCCATCTTTTCATCATGGTGACATAGTGACAATTAAGAGTCGTGATTCTTGATTGATTCTCAGTAAAATACATTTTTCACATTCAAAGGACACAGGGCAGAACAGATTCTTAGGAATGCGCACAAAAAGCTGCTTAGTGAGAGGATTAGACAGACTCACTTCACAATTGAAGCTATCTCGCACAAAATAGATCAGATAAGGCAGAAGCTATCCAAACTTCTCCCCGAAACCTTGTTTGAAGAAGTTGCTATTTTGGTCAATAAAGCCAAGCTTTCACAACATCATAAAACAAAAGTAAGACAAAAAGCCAAATTCAAAAGATTACAACAGAAAGCAGCATTTAAACAAGAGAGCAACATGACTCAGGCGGATAACATCAAGGTTGAAGACAAGTGGGTTAAAAACCTATCTAGCAGACCACTGACAAAACCAGAGATGGATGTACTGAGTAAAGGCCTGAATTTTGCCATTGCTCCACAAGAAGTACCCATTGTGGAACTGATCACGGCCACTGAATCGGCCATCAGGAACAACAACTTGGTTGAAACGTACAACATTGCTAAACAGCTTACTAATATCTTAGCTCCACTGGTGGGGAACACACCACATCACATAAAAAACTCTAAAGACTTTGCCAACAAAGCCAAACATTTAAGGATGGCTCCAGGAGAAACCCTGGTATCGTTTGATGTTACTTCACTTTTCACATGCATACCTATAACAGAGGCAGTGGAAACAGTCAGGACACGTGAACAAGATAGTGATTTAAACAACAGGACTAATTTCACTCCGGACCAGATCTGCACACTACTGGGCCTTTGTCTTTCCACAACCTATTTCAAATTCAGAGGTAATTTTTACAGACAGAAGCATGGCTGCGCAATGGGATCTCCAGTATCACCAATTGTAGCCAATCTTTACATGGAAGAAATGGAAAAGAGAGCTTTAGACACTTTCAATGGAATACCACCAAGCCACTGGTTTAGATACGTGGATGACACTTTCGTCAAAATCCAACTAGAGGAAGTGGAAGCTTTCACCAAACACATCAACTCTGTTGACCGTAACATCAAATTCACCAGAGAGGATGCCAAGGACAACAAACTACCCTTTCTGGACTGCCTAGTGAGCATGGAAGGAGATGGAAGCCTAAACATTGAAGTTTATAGGAAACCTACTCACACAGACCAGTATCTTCTTTTTGACTCACACCACCCACTGGAACACAAACTCTCAGTCATCAGAACCTTACAACACCGGGCAGAACATGTCCCTACTAAAACAGATGGGAAGCAAAAGGAACAGAAACACATCAAAGATGCTCTCCAAAACTGTGGATATCCAAACTGGGCTTTTATCAAATCAGCAAGGAAATCCAAAAGACACGCAACAGAAGACAGCGATGGGAAAATTAAACGCAAAAACATCACAATCCCTTATGTTGCTGGAGTGTCTGAAAAACTCAAGAGGATTTTCTCCAAACACAAGATCCCAGTACATTTCAAGCCAAACCAAACCCTTAAACAGAGGCTAGTGCATCCTAAAGATAAACCCCCAGACCGAATATGAGCGGAGTGGTATATGCTGTTCAGTGCAGCGAGGAATGCTCTGATCTTTATATTGGCGAAACAAAACAACCTCTCCACAGACGCATGGCCCAACACAGAAGAGCGGCCGCCTCTGGACAAGACTCCGCAGTACACATACACCTTGTGGACAAAGGACATTCTTTTGAGGACCAGAATGTCCATATTCTGGATAAAGAAAATATGTGGTTTGAGAGGGGCGTGGAGGAAGCCATCTATGTTAAGAGAGAAAAAACAACTTTAAACAGAGGTGGTGGACTCAGATTCCAGATTCCAAAAACATACAATTCAATCATAGACATGATCCCTTCCAGATATCACCAAACCCCCCACCCCATCACAGAGGAACGAGGGACCTACCCGCCCCAGCCGGTGAACAATACCTCCTTAACGACCAACCCTTAACAATCATAGACAGGTTTCAGGTATTACAGGAGACAATCCCCCCCCTTAATGGCAATCCCCCCTTTAACGACCGACCCCTAGAATCGTAGACAGGTTCAGATATTACAGGCTAACGATGGAACTAACGACCCATTTATCGGTTACCATTGCATGTTTCCAAGCGATACAAGGCGTTGTCTATATAAGACTCAAACTCACTGCGGATCCAGACATTTGAATTGAGAAAGCTTCCTTGAAAACCAAGTCCAGTGGATATTTTTTGAATTTTTACGGGATGACTATGACCTGGATGACTGAGAACCTTCATCAGCATTTTTCACATTGTAATCACCTCCCACATTGTTTTATAATCTTTTATGAGGATGCCTGTCTTATTTTTCATCAAAAACTAACTTCTTAGTTGAATGAATGTCTGTTTTTTGTAAATGCATTTTTAATGTCAGACAAATAAAGAAAGAAGGATACAATTTTTTTTATCAACTCAGACTTAAGAATTTTGATTTGTTACTAGCATAACTGGAAGGAAAACATTTAGAAGATACAACTAATAAATACAGGGATTTTTTATTTAATGCCAACAATGGATTCACTACATAATTCATGAATTTTTAACTGATTGTACTTAAAGAGGCAGATTGTACCCTATAAAGGGTAAAATATAGAAACCTGTGTGTTAGCATTCTTTGAATGTTGAGATCAATGTTTAACTGCTCAGAACTATTGTTTATTATATTGCTCTTTTTATTGCTCAAACAATATTTATCCTTGAGGCTTGAATTTATTTACATGCATCTAAAAAATTTGTTTGTATTTTGGCTTTTTTGGTGCCACACAAAGATTGTTACTTTGACTGTTGCACAAAAAAAAAAAAAAATAGGTTTAATCCGAAGCAGTTATAACGGTCAATGATAGCATAAAAATGGCTAAAGGTTCCTAGATCTACACTGAGTGTGTTGTAATAACTGCCATTGGGGGAATGCAAATATTTTCTTGAGTATTTGCAATATACAAAGAGTTTGTTGCATATTTGCAATAATAGGGATTGAGGGGTTGACAGAAATCTGTTAATTGTGTGAGCATTACAGCTGTTAACCACTTAAATTTAGACTTTTATTGTCATTTTGTATACACATAGTGTATACACATAGTGTATACAAAAGAAAATTTTGTTTTGTGCAGCTTTCAGACAATAAATGAGCAGCAGCTTAGCAGTGAAATGAACTTTTCCGTTCCATAAAGTGCAGTAATGATCAAATGTAAACACTGTGTGAGAAAAAACCATGGTGTAAAACACGACGATATGGAAGTTCGGAGCATTTCATGAACCATGAAACTGTTTGTATTTATCTGACGTGGGAATCAGCAGGAAACAAAAGCTTTATCTCAAAACACATTCATGTCTAATTAATTTCCTGATGCAAAATGTCTGCTGTTTATCACAGGTTTACGAGGATCTCTATCAAGGCTCCAACTGGATTATGTGGACTTAGTTTTTGCCAACAGAAATGACGTCAACAGTCCAATGGAAGGTTTGTTTAAGTCTCATCCAACATATCTTTCATTAAAATGATGCTTTAAAAAGGTTTTCCATTTTCAATGTAAGCAGTGTAATACTGTGATCTTACAGAGATCGTTCGGGCCATGACGTTTGTAATAAACCAGGGCATGGCCATGTACTGGGGAACCTCCCGCTGGAGCGCAATGGAGATCATGGTGCATGCAGAGAACAAACCAAATCTGTGCAAATACATTGTTATCTACATTTTCAAAAGTTCTCCTTTTTAATCAACGTGTTTTGGGTCTGTTTCGCTCTGCAGGAAGCGTACTCCGTCGCACGTCAGTTCAACCTGATCCCACCTGTGTGTGAGCAGGCAGAGTATCACTATTTTCAGAGAGACAAAGTGGAGGTGCAGCTTCCTGAACTCTACCACAAGATCGGTTAGACATCCACGTTCCTGGAGCCCTGTCCACTCGGATGTGTTTCATAAAGGCTCGGCTTTGCATTACTGGGTTTAATTGTACTCTGGTTCTCAGGTGTGGGAGCGATGACCTGGTCTCCACTTGCATGTGGATTAATCACAGGAAAGTACAGCGATGGTGTGCCTGAGTGCTCCAGAGCAGCAATGAAGGTCAGTTTGATTTAAGCGTTTCTCAACAGGGATTTTTCCTTCTTACTTCATCAGTATGCTGATGCTAAAGTTGGGGGTGAATTACTGATTTTCCCTTAATGTTGGTTCTGTTGTAGGGATACCAGTGGCTGAAGGAGAGGGTGAACAGTGAGGAAGGCAGAAAGCAGCTGGCTAAAATCAAGGAGCTCCATCTACTGGCAGACAGACTGGGCTGCACTGCTGCACAGTTAGCCATAGGTTTTTGGACAAAATCTCTGATTTATGCTTTTTTATTGAGGTTTGAAATCTGTTTTCAGGTTCACTCAAACTACCATTATGTATGGAGTTATTTAGTTGTTGTTTCTGAGGCTCATGATGTAATGTGCCGAGATTCTTTCATTTAAAAAGCTGTTTAAAATTAGGTGCATTTATTTGCATAGAATAAAAGTCGATACTTAAATTAATTTCGCACAAAGATTTCTGAGAAAAAGTTTTCATCCTGTGGGGAAAAAAGGGTTCAATTTGTTTTTTGTTTGGATGATGACTCTGTGAAGCAGTAAAAGGTCTTTTTTAGAGTGTAATTTATTGCAGTTTGGTATCAGCTTTCCTGACCTACAGGGTTCCTAGGTTTTGCTCTTTTAAATGTGGTTGTTCCTGGAAAAGAAACCTAAACATGTGGCTTTAAATATTCTACGCAGGGTGTTATGAAAAATCACTTCCTGTTTGATTGAGTGATACATTTTAAATCTTGACCTTGCTAAAACCCTCATTGACAACCCATTTTTAAGTGTTCTGGAAGATGCCACTAGATTGTTGTGTTTAAATATGCTGGTATGGCATTAATGAGGCCTTTCAGGCATCACTGATGGGCTGTTTATGGGAGAAATAAGCCCACCACATCAGGAGATCCTACACTATATGAAACTGTTGGCATGCGCTGGTTTTCCAAACACTAATCACACTTCAACTAACTTCAATCACACCAAACTCAACTGGAGGATTTAGTCCTGAAGATCAATCTTGGCCTCATGGGACCAAACCACACGGTTCCAGTTAAATAGCACTTAGCAAGCTCCACACGTTTGTGAAAATTGTTTCCCCTGGCATGCCTCCCAAACAAACAGATGGCATGTAGATCCCGGTTGTTATAGAGACTCTGTGATCCTGAGAAGCCATCCTTTTAGGCACTTCTCTGACAGAGAGCTCTTCAGACTCTGAGTTCAAAACCAGGGGAGATTTCTGCTTTTGGGTTTAGTTGAAGAGAAAATTAACCCTTTATAATTACATCTCTTATGATCCTCCTCTCTGCAGAGGTGGTTAGATAAACTAGAATTGTCATATTTCTTAGTTTTTTTCATAACTAATGTTGTTTCACCTTTGGTCTACTGTTCTGTCTGTTGATTTGTTCATGTTTAGGCAAATAACTGTTTTATTTGGACCATTTTCTGATTACATTTTAAAAAGGACACACATCTAACTTAAATTAATAGATGTATTATTGTTTTTCTCATTTCGAACGGTGAATAAAGGAAACAGCCTTTTATCTAACTTATTCATTTTGAGGCTATTTAAGCAACAGAATAACAAAAAAAAAATGGAAGGAGCCTTTTCCAAACAGCTCAGGATTTTCATTGATGCTATAACGGATGCTGACTTGTTTGTATGATCATAAATCATAACAAAGAAATGTGTTGTTTTCCGTCTACAGCCTGGTGTTTGCGAAGTGAAGGAGTCAGCTCTGTGCTTCTGGGTGTTTCTAATACTGACCAGCTACTAGAGAACCTTGGAGCCCTCCAGGTAAAATATCTTTCCTTTCATTTCTGTACCTTTTTACCCCCCAAAAAATATTGATACCATTGAACTTTTTAAAATTTCTTCACATTTTAAACTGAACATATAATGTATTTGATAGGATAGACTCAGACAAAGTAGCGCATTAATAAGAACTAAAAAGGAAATAAATGTAGGATTTAAAAAAAAAAAAAAAAGCTTTTACAAAAAATCTAGGTATTTTTAGATATAATAGGGTATTTATTTGTTTTTAGAACTATTTCTGCTGGCAAAATCCAGCTGTTTTTTAAAACCAACCTCAGAGGCTTTTCCTGGACTTCATTAGTACATTTCTTTTACGTATAAGGCAAATATAGTTATTGTTAAAATCTATTTGTATGAAATGATAAAATAGCACCAAGTAGTGCTCTTTGTGTTTCAATGATAAGTAGGCTACTTGCTCTTTTCCCTTTTATTAAATGTTTTGCAGATTGAAAGCTTCACTTCCCTAAGTGATTTTATAGCTAGATTAATGGTCTTAGAGATGACTTCCTTGAATTGTCTATTCAAAGTCTTCTCTGTTGTAGCTTTCTGTTTTAATTGTTTCGAATAGTCTTTGCCGATTGTGTTTATTTGTATAGTGCTGATTTTTTATTTTATTTTTTCCAGGTCTCCCTCAAAAACAAACACGTTAATCTAAATGGTGACTTTAAATAAATGTTTAAAAAAGAAAGTTTCACTGCAAATCTAAGAATCAAAGAAAAATCTAAGAAATCTAGTTTACTCCATTTGTCCTGAAGTGAGTGACTTTTCCTTTGATTTCAGCAAATATGTAGGAAAACTGGCTCATGGAATAAAATGATGTACCTTTAAAATTTGAGTAGGTAAATAACATGATCTGTCAATTGACTGAATATTTTTAACCTTAAAATAAGTTAGACACTATGCACTTTAAATAAGAGACTGCAAGGTGTTTTTTTTCTTATTTTAAATATAAATCATCTTATTCCATTGGCAAAGTGTCTCACTTACCTGCTAAATTCATGAAAAAATGCACTTATTTAAAAAAAAAAACTGACTTCTCAACTTTTTGCAGTGTGGGACCCTACCTCTAAGCCTTTCTCTATTCAGACCCCTCTCATGATTTTCTACCAAACTTTTACTTATGTCAGTGTCAAGAACCGTGGACAGATGGACCCAGTATTCAAGGAGAGACAGTCAGTAGGAAAGTTCAAACGTTTATTAAATAAAACAAAACAAAAGCGGAGCTGTGGCTCACGGACACTGCAGGCGGGGGTCGGGGCACCGCCCAATCTCAGACACTCTGGTTTAACAGTCCAGACCACGAATGTCCCCAGTGCTGCAGTCCCAGAGGTGAGGCTGGAAGCCGATCCTGGTGAGGGATCCAGAACAGACAGGAACAGACCGAACAGGCAGAATCCAGATCAGGCAGGGTACAGAAACAGGTGGCAGGATCCAGACTTCCAGACATGCACAGGCTTCCAGGAGGGTTCAGAGTCAGACTGGGACCAGAAGCATGACCAGGTGGTCACGCACAGGAGCAGACAGGATCAGGTGCAGACAGGCAGGCACAGTGGAAGAGGGTAGCCGAGACAGGACGTAGGAACCGGAACTTGAAGCAGGACTTTAAACTGGTCTCCTCCCTGGAGCCAGGCTTACTTTGATAAAAACTAGTGATGTTATGAGATGAGCCGAGGCTTCGAGGCGTGTGTCGAGTAATGGAGTGGGCGTTTCCCCGAAGCGCATGTCGAGGCGTGATTCATTTAGAGGAGGGGCCAAAATTGATGACGTCCGAGGCCTCGCTACCGTGATACCACGTGACCGCTTCTGTAAGTGGTTTGGGAAGCTCAAGAATTTTGACGGGCATCTAAACAGCCTCAGTGTTCAGTCAAGATGTGGGAGTTTGGAGGAGAGTTGCTGTCAGCTGGATAAAGTTTGGATGGATTCTAAGAATAAATTGGTTGTTTTTCCAACCAATCTAATTGCTTAAAGCTAATTTGGTTTGAATAAACAATGTAATAATCAAAATTTGAACAAACTACCAGACAAAGCCATTGTTAACACGTCAGTGTTAAGAAGTATTTTTTCCCAGTTCAGACTATCTACATGAGTGGTGTCATCTGTAAGGGACAGACTCTCACTCTAGAGGTTGATGGTTCAAGACCTGTCTCTGTCTTTTGAAAGTTGCGATTAAACTTAATTATTTTGGCTGATGAGACTAATTTGCATTGTTTTGCCCGAGTAAAAATATAGATTGGGAAAATTAGGTCGGTTTAGTCAAAAGATTGGTTGAACACAACTTCCAACCTGATTAAAACCAAAAAACGTGGAAAAACTATCATGTTTGAATAAAAATGACTAACACCTTTCATTTTGTTCATCACTGCCCAATTTGCACAAACACTTTCACTGACTGCTTGAGTTTATTTCACTAAAATGGCAGAAAAACTGTGCACCTTAAATGATTGTTCTACGAAATTTTACACTTAAAAAAAAAACTTACAAAAGATTTTATTATACACACCAACCATTAACAATTTCAAGGGAATTTAAAAGGGGGAAAAAAGAAAAACAATTGCAAAAATTAAAACCGCGAGCGGTATTGACGGCCCTCGCAGCTCGCACCGCCTGGTATGTCGCGACCGCGGGAACCAAGCGACCGCCGGCTCCACGCTT